TTGCCTTTGTTAACATGTCATAGGTGGAATTCCACTTAGTTGAGCAATCGGTTCTAATTTTTATTACCCTTATCTTTTGTTGTTTTAAAAAACTCTTCCATTCTTGGTATCTCATGTTAGAGCTATTAATAGACATAATAGCATCTCTGATTTTGCTGTAGTATGGGCCAATTGCCCGAACTCCATCCTGTACACATAAGTTAAGTACATGGCAAACACATCTAGTATGAAGAGCTTCACCGTCTAATAGTACATCGGTTAAGTTTTGTTTGATAAGATTAGCTGTGTATGTCATAGAGGTTGCATTATCAAAAGTCATAGACATCATTTTATCTCGAAGGTTGTATTCGTCTATTGCTTGCATTAAATAGTGAGCAATGTTAATGCCGGTGTGTGGGTATTCCAGCATTTTAAAATGTATTATTCTTTTTTGTAACAACCATTGATCACCTACCCAGTGGTAAGTCACACATAAATAGTGATGTTTATAACCACTATCCCAAGAATCGACTGTTAAAGATACTCTACAGTTAAGGTTACTCAATTCGGCTTGTAACCGGACTTTGTACTCTAGGAAATTTTTCATTGCGGCGGAACGAACGGTTTTCTTAGAGATTCTTTTATGTTGGGGTTGTAGTGCTTTGTTAATGTAGGTGTTGAATGCGTCACTTTCCGAGAAAAGAAAAGGTTGTTCGGCGTGTACTATCATTTTTCCTAGTTTATCCCTATCCCTCTCATAGTTGTATGTAAAGCCGTATGGATAGAATTGGGAAATTTTGGGCTGGGTTGGATCACTAGCTGGTTTTGCACAAGCTTTCATGTCTCTAGTTAAGTGTCCCGTCCCGTTTTTGGTAAATGCCGTGAATACACCATTACATGTTTTACATTTTGCATATTGTTGACCCTCTTTATCTAGGACAAAATAACGCCATACCTCACTCCTTCGGTTTTTCAAAAGTACCATCTCACTTTCGGTTAGCCATTCATGATGTGTGTCTGCGTTAGTAGTGGCAGTAGAAGGGGTAGAACCTTCGGGTACTTTCTTGGCTACCTTGGCTAGAACAATAGTTTTGTTGATCACTGATATAATTAGGTGGGAATTCACTGAATTGTGGGAATTGTCGTGGATTTTGATATTGGTTTGACGGTGGAAATTGGTTTGGTGGTGGTGGTGGAAATTGGTTTAGTGGTGGTGCTGGAAATCCCGACATATTATATGGCTCATAGTCCGGGGGGAAGTAAATGGGGTCATTGGTTTGACTCGAAATTTGGGGGCTCGTTGTATTTGGTGGTTCCCTAGAACTACTACTACGGGTAAGTCGGCCTTTCGCCCTAGATCTAGATGATGGGTTGTTCGATGCCATAATTAACAATTAATTTTTTAATATAAAGTGGTTAACTATAATAATAATAATTAATAACAACAATTTTAACAATAAAAATATCAATAATAATAATTAATAACAACAACTATAACAATAACAATAACAACAAAAATAAATAATATCAACAATTGTAACAATAATAATAATTAATAACAAAAATTATAACAACAACAATAACAATTAACAACAATAATAATTAAACAAGATTATTCTAATAATAACAATAAAACAATAATAAATTTAAGATTAGTTTAGATCTTACAACCGTGCTTCAACGCTCCACTAATTACGATTACGAACTTTTTAATTTTTTCCGATATTAGGAAAATAATTAGAGAATTTAAGAGAATAATTAGAGAATTTAAGAAAATAAGGATTATTAGAGATTTAGAGAATATAAGAGATAAGAAGAAGAGATTGTGATTTTGTGATTTGGGAATGAAATGGAGGTGGGTATTTATAGAATTTTTGGGGAGCAAATTGGCAAAAATATAGCCGTTAAGTAGCCGTTTTTTTTGGCTAATTATGCAACTAGCCGTTGCTTTTAAACGGTTATATGACCGTTGGCCCGCGGGCCGTGCCGGCGTGCCAGCACGGCGGGCCCTGGCCGTGCTCGTGCCGGGCCGTGCCTGGGAATTAATAACCCTGTCCGTGGCATGACCCGTGGCACGAAGTTCAACTTCCGTGTCGTGCCGTGCTGGAGTTCGGGCCGTACCGGGCGGCACGCGGGCCAACCCGGCCCGTGCCCAGGTTTACCCCCATTCCCTTACCAATATTGGAAGTTTTTAGTATTTTTATTTTGTCTTTTCCTTGCTCTAAAAGAGTCTGATATGGAGTTTTATTTTATTTCTGTGATATGGGTTTATTTAGTCTAAACTTTGCCTCATTCCTCTCTCTTTAATTATTCCTTTTATGACTTAAGTGCTGCATGCAATCTAATAAATAAAATTATAAAAGAAGTACAAACTCTTCAAGACCCACCTTTATAAGTGGTTGTTTCTCTTTGTAGTTATCATTTATTTCGATAAGGAATAATGAATAGATGAGAATCGTTCATGCAATACTTTTAATCTAATACATTCCATGGTTTCTCTGCCTAAGAAAGTGCTCAACTGCTGAAGTTGATTTATACATGGAGTTATCTTGCATGCGTTGATGAATATTAATATTAGATTAAAATCCCTTATGTTTCCAGCTTGGTTTTCTCCTTTAAAGACAGTTTACATGACTGGTTTAGTGTATATGTCCTTCAGTGTAGGTTCACTGACAAAGGGTAATCTGTGTTATTTCTGACTATGAAACACTTTGTAGTCATAATTATTGTCTATATTATGAAGTATTCCTCTCTACCTGTTTGTTGCCTATACTATTGGTATTTAATCTTTATTTATATATGAGTTTAATATATATGTGGGTCTTTAGAGAGGCAGACCTGTTAGTACTGATATGTTTGCAATGTTAATACATAGGTAGTTAAGCAAACATCAGGATCACGTCACTCAGACAAGTCTTCAGCACGACGTCTTCTGCAGGTTTTTGGTAAATTCTTCATGCTTATCTGCTCCCCTAATTTCTAGGTTTGTGTAATATGCTTGGCTTGTCGTTGTTAAAAGAAACACTCCGTCCTATAATATAGTCCCCACTCTATTTTTATGGTCGAACTTTGAAAACTTTGACCATTAAATCTCATTATTATATACAAAAAATAGTATGCTCATGTGAAACATTTTTAAATTCCTCTAAATGTGTAGTTTTGTAATATCAGCTTTTTAGAATCTTTGTTATTTGGCTATTAAAGATATTGATGGTCAAGGTACATCTTAAAGACTACACATAAAAATGGAAACTATATTATGGGACATAGAGAGTATTTTGTTAAGAATAGGCAAACATACCCCGAAAGTAGGACCATATTTCATTAAGGAACACATACAAGATAATTCAAAGTTGAAAATGGTTATGTGATGGAGGAATTTTTTTTTTTTTTTAGGATAGGCAAACATACCTGAAAGTAGGACCATATATCATAAAGGAACACATACAAGATAATTCAAAGCTGAAAATGTATCATCGTCTTATTCCTGTTTACATCAATATACAAGTGCCTGCAAAAACCCTTGCAATTTAACAAATTTAATGCTGCTATTCATTTGCCGTCAGCCTGTTGGGTGTTCCACGAGTTGTTGAACCTCAGTCTTCATTCCCTTTCTGCTTAGTATGTAAAGAAATTTATGAATTCATATTTTTTTTTGCTGTTGATTTGCTTCTGTTTGAAGTAAATTGGTGTCTTTTTAAACATCAATAGATGAAATTGGATGAGTCTTTGATGCAGTATTCTGCAAAATACATAAAGAATAAGCAATGGCTGTCTAATAGCTTATTATTAGTGCATGAGCTTCTATCATAGACAAGGCCTTCCAAACACATACTAGGATCTTTTTATTTAAATTGATAAATTTTCAAACTTTGGGCACCATTACACTTTTGTGTAATCATTTCTGACTTCCACTCACTTCATCCCAATTTCCCAGGATGTGCACAGACAAACATTCAAGTCTTAAATATAGTGTGAGGAGATTAGCATAACTTGGTAACTTTACCGCTAGGTTATTTCATTGGCTCCTTGTAGTAATGTTTACTGGTGTGTCATCTGTTTTTGAATCGTCTCCTTTGAAAATCATATGCCTTTGGGAATAGACATTGTTTTTGTGAAAGTGTCAGTTGATGAATCTTTTCAAATTAAGATTAGATTGTGTTTTGGTTTAGAAGTACTTAGACAAGGAAAGTAAATCTGGAAGGACCTTGGCAGATAAATGATTAATGACGTCCTTGTTTTATGGTGGATATTTAATAGCTGGGATTTCTGCTGATGATCTTGCATGACATATCTTTGACTTACTATATACTACCTCTGTTTGTGATAGCTCTTAACACTTTATTTCATCACGCTTGTCAATGTAAAACTTTTAACTATAAATATCTCTAATTATGTATTTGATTAATTATTAAGAGTTTATATTTCAAAAATGCATATTGAGACGAATTGTACAAGATGCCACGCTAATTACGTACTTCCTCCATTCCAACAATATTGCAACAAGGATGAAATTACGCATCCCAAAGCACATTTTATATGTTAAATATCTATAATTGTATAAGAGTCAAAATTATAAAAAGTTGATATTGTGAAAGTATTTTATGAGACGAATCTAACAAGATCCCACATGACTATATTTTGCTTAAAATATAAATTATATTATATGGTCAAACAAGAGTGATGAATAGTGCAAGAATCCCATTGTTGCAATATTATTGGAACAGAGGAAGTATAACTTTTAAAAAGTGGTTAAAATGTCAATAAATTTTTCTTATGTATAAATTATAAAGAGTGATTAACTTGGAGCTTCTGAATAATGCCAATAGTCAAAGTGTTAGGAACTTTCAGGATCGAAGGCAGTAGGTTTTAAACCCCAAGACAATCTTTCTAACGTTTGTTTCTTATCAATTTAATTACCTTACGAAAGATGTTTATGTTTCTTTTATTTGATCATCAATACAGGCAAGGATTTAAGGATTATAGTATTTGGTTTCCGAGCTCGAACTAAGCAGGTAATTTGTATAATACACCTTTTATGTTGATGAACTGAATATTCTTAATATATGTGTTTTTAGTGCTGAATTATTCTTGTTTGTCGATACAGTTCCTTTAGGCATAGTTTGGTAATAGATTATCACTTATATCCCAGTCCAAACTGTAATAGCTTTTATTTCTGTTATGTAGATTTGGTGAATCTGTTGTACTATGTTTTGGATAAATTTGCTAACATGCTTGTAATTTATTAAAAGCTCTTAATCGTTTGTTGACTTGGTATAACGGAAATTTTAATTTATGTGATGTTCCCAATATCAATACATCAGATGAGCTGTAATATCTTTTGCAACAATGTGTTTCATGGTACCCTTATGTGCCAACTTCTGCAAAAATATGGCAATTGTAGGTCTCTTCTTTTGCCCATTTCAAAGAAAATAAAGGTGATTTAAATTGCAGGACTCCCAACCTGATGTGACATAAGTTTATATCTCTGTAAGTGCTAAGGAAGTTTTATCAACCAGTGGGGGTTGAATTGAATAGAACTGGTAAAAGCTTAATTTACTAGTGGCCTAGTGACATAGGCACAGAATATCGATTTGGATTCTTGGGGAAGATAAATGCACTTGGCTATGTTGAAGGAATAGAGATACGAAGAAGCAAAGAAAGTTAAAAGAGCTTGAGGGTCACTCTGCTCCCTGTGCTGACATTTACAATCTCTTCTTACCACTTAACCTTCCCCTTTCTACTGTATATAAGCTGTATTCTATTTCCTTTTTTTGTTTATATTCTTTTAGAGGCGATCTTTAATCCACTTACTAGTCTTCTATTTTTCTCCTTACCCATGGTTGCATATTTCAGTGTAATTGTATACTTCTTACTTTTTTTTTTTACTTGCAACATTTCTGTTATCGCATTTTAACGAGAAAATACGAGTTTATTTTCTTGATAAACAAAATATGTTTATCAAATGGCAAAACTGTAAATAAATCAACAACTCTTTATTTAAAAATGGACCCACAATAGTAGATTTATTTACAAATATACCATGATGACTAGAAAATGGACCCTACCAAAGTTGATTTATTTACAATTATGCCATGATAAGTAGGCAATTTTGTTGATTTATTTACAATTTTGCCAGTTGATAAACGAATTTTGTTTATCAAGGAGATAAAGTGGGGCTTCCTCCATTTTAATCATTTATATCTTCAATCATGCATTTGTAAAAATTAAGCATTAGATTCTAATAAGGTTGACATTGATACGAATCTAACGAGATCTCATATGACTATATATTCTATAAGTATAAATCACGACATGTAATTGAAGTTGAGTATGTGAATAGTGTACCCTATTGGGATGTTGCAAGTAAAAACGGAGGAGGTATTGAGTGTAGATGTACTTTACAATTCTACTTCCGTGTATTTTTTTCCCCGGGTGAGGGGTGGGAGAGAGCTCAGTTCATCACTTAGACCAGCTGGAGCATTTACTAAATTATTGCTTTTTTTATTTTATTTTATAAGGTAGTCTATTCCTATGCATTATTACATGATAAAAGTTAGAATTATATGTTTCTAATTCCATTTCTGTTCAGTTCATCATTTTTTGGTTAATTTTCTCTTGCATTTTTCTAGACAATCTGAGAAGAAAAATGGAATTGCTATGCGGAGGCCTCATATCTGTATTGAAATTTAGGACAAAGTCTCTTTATTTTTTTAATATTTTTTTTGGGAATTGATGTATCAGACACTCAGTTATGTACCTATATCCTCACATCCAAGTCCAGGTGACATAGGCTGTTCTTATGTAACTATTATATTTTGCGTTGGATCCCCAGAGCTCTATTATTGAGTAATATATGGATTCCTTCCAATATATGTGTAGGTATCTTGGCGAGTTTGATAGGATTGCAAGTTTGCAACATTTGACTTGGAAGCGGGGTTTAATCTGGCAGTGGACAATGCCTTTTAAGTCATGCTTGTGGTAAACTAGCTCATGTGTTTGGTCTGGCTCTTTGTGCTTTTCACACTTGGATATATCGTTGACATCTATTCTCAAAGCAATAGTGCTTGATAGACTTGATGGTTGCACAAAATCGACTAAATTCTTAGGATTTTATTTTGGAAGTAGTGAATTAATTACTTTAGAAAGGCTTCAGTTTAATAAAATTTAGAGTATGATAGTCGCTGTAATATATTTGTCACCTACATCAGTGTGGGATTTTGTGAAGGAGATGTGTATGGGAAAAACTTTTGTCCTGCATTAGTCTATGATGCATACTATAATTTTTGCTTCTTTGATTTGTCTAGATTTTTGCTGTAAATTATTTTTCAAATGTGATCTCTAAACTGTGAAATCTAACAGAGACGTGCAGTTTTTGAAGCACTTTCGAGGTGTACAAGACCGGCAAGATTATGGGATCTTTATGCTTTTATTTGCGGGCCTTCTAAATATATTGGCAATAATCCAAGGGTCCGGCTGTTAGATGAATATTTTCGGCTTCTTGGCATACGATCCCACTTTCGGCCATCAGATAATATGATTGATGAGGGATCATATACGTTGTCCAATAATTGGTGGAGAATAAGTAGTATAAATTCCAACTACACATTGTGTGCCACTTACCCATTTGCTTTGATTTTTCCCAAATCCATTACGTAAGTGTCATACTTTTGCTACTTCCTTGTTTTATGGCTTTTATACAAATTGTGACCTTTGAGAAGGTATTGATCCATAATTTCATCTTGCTGTTAATTCTAGTGACGAAGAAATATTACAGGCTTCCACTTTCCGGGCTAGATGTCGTCTTCCTACAATTTCTTGGTGCCATCCTGGTAGGCATTTGCAATAAGTTAGACTATCTCATTGCACTTTGCGGTTGATGTCTCCTACTGACTTTAATCATGTGAAAGCATAGGTACTGGAGCTGTACTAGCACGCTCATCTCAGCCGTTAGTTGGTCTCATGATGAACATGAGGAGGTACTCTTGTTTTATACTCATGGGTTTAAGTTGTTGTAAACTTTAGTTATGCTGTAAGTCTACAAATTGATGCTATAATTTGTCCACAGCAATGCTGATGAAAAGCTAGTGGCCGCACTTTGCACACAGTTCGCTAGTCTAAAGGATGGGAGGAGGTGTGTCTGCTTATCCTATAACTGATATCTCTTTGTATTAATGTGCTTTAATATTAGATGTCAAATGCATCATCCTTGTTTCCCGGGTCACAGCTTTTGGCCCTCAGTTTGTGGTCTTTGTGTCAACTTTACCATCTGCATGCAATATTTTGTCTTAATTATTAATCTCTTTGTGCTTGTGTTGAGATTTGGTTTCACCATTGTTTTTTTGTTTCTTTATAGAAGAAATATTAGATAAATGAGATCAGTCGTTAAAGAGGCTGTTTACACATTTAAATGACTTGCAACTGTAAGGCTGTAACCCAAAAAGGAGTAATTGATGTGTCAATTTGGAGTTTTGGACCTACTAGGAGATGTTTGATAAATGAAAGATATATAGAATTTTTCATGGATTTTAATGTGGTTTACTGTGTAGCAGATTTATTTCCTTGTGTTGCTGAGTTCATGAATGAACTTTTTTGGCTGTTGGATTATTGTAAATATTTGACTTTAGATTGGATATTGCTGACGAAGACCCTAGGGTGCGCTGGTACAAAGAGTGGAAGAGTGGAATCACGGAGAGGTTAAATGAGGTAGAGGGAGACCGAAAATGACTTGGTTGGAAGGATTTAGGAAGGATATGAAGCATATGGATTTGCATGAGAATGAGGTATTTGATCGTAAGGGATGGAGGAAGATTTTTTGAATGACTATACGGAATAATCACTTTTGGTTCATGTAGCCGACCCCACTTATAGGATTAAGGCTTTTGATTGGTTGATTGATTGATTGGATATTGCTGACCCAAGTCAGTTTATATGTTTAATGACCCTAATTCTTATTGTTGCTGTAATTACTTGTCTCCATTTCTTGTATAATATGTCAATTCCCTTGGTGGTTTTGTAACGTAGTTCTTTATTGCTTTTTTAAACAGAGTATTTCAATAGGATTTTCATTTAGTTATTTTATTTTGATTGAGGTGTGGTTTTTTTTAGGAAGTTATATATTGCTGATGCAAGACCTAGGAAAAATGCTTTAGCAAATGGCGCAATGGGAGGTGGTTCTGAGTCAGCTGCTAATTACTTCCAGTCAGAGGTTTGTCTCAAGATGTCTGCCTCATCTTTCAATTGATGAATTCTTTGATCCTCCCACTGCTGATTTCTGATGTTGTCACAATTTCTGATCAGATAGTTTTCTTTGGCATAGACAATATACATGCTATGAGAGACAGCCTGTCCCGTCTTAGAGAATATTTGGATACTTACGGGACCACTTCATCTGATGGAATGTCTTCGTATCTTGTAAGTATTGATCTTGGTTTTTACATCTCTTGGCTTGAAATCTAAGTTGTCTCTGCTACCCTTTATTTTGTTCACAGGAATCCCTCCATTCCATTATCCAACCAGGCGACCACATATTTTTCTTCTCATATTTCATTTGAAGCATTAAATATTATTTTTCATTTAAAGTATTAATGCTTTATTGGTTGGTAGTTATAAAAATCACTGTAACTACCAACACCTTTAATAGTACTCATATCAGCTGTCAAGGTTTCTTGTTTATTCATTTTGATGAATTTTTTAAATGACTTCTTCATTTTTATTTGGAAAATTCTTCACCATAACCCTCTAGGTATATTGACTTTTCCAAGCTGTGCCCCCTCCTTTTGAAAATTACACACTGTAACCTTCAACTTACAATTATGTCTCAACCATAGTTGTTTAAATCCCGATCCGGATCTTACAATCCGACGATTCCACGATCCAAAATTGCGTGATCGATCCGGATCTTTGGTAGGATCTTAAAGTTTGTAGGATCTTACAATCCTACTCTGATATTAATTATGAGTGGTAGGATCTGAAAATGATCCTACGATTTTATTACGATCCTACGATCTGATCCAACATTTTACTATAATATGAGACTTTGATTTATTTATTTTTTATTACTCATTAGGTTATATGCATCTAAATTTAATGTATTCAATAATTATCGCCAATAAATTAGCGAATCCGAGACATTAATATGATTTTATCAATTGACAACTTGTAATTGTCATAGTTAAGGTCTCATTCTTGACAAATTTGCACATAATTTATTAATTTAAACTTGTGTTATTTATCTTCTAACTACCATACAGACAAAGCTAAATGAAGATCGACCTTTCTTAAGCAAACCAATATTTTTTAGCATTGAAACCCCTTAGAAGAAATGTTTTTAAGTCAATTTTTAGCATAATATATAATATTATTCGCTACTAAGTAGGACCTTACGATCCTACGATCTGATTCTATCGATTCGATCCCACCCCCCCTCATCGATCCAAGGTAGGATCCTGATCCTAACAACCAACAGTGACCTTGCCGTTATCTTATCGTAACGGTCACCGTTAGTGGGACCCACTTTGCACTTTTTTATATTTTTTTCTCGATTTGCGTGCTGAAAAAATATTCCGTTAAAGGTTTTAGGGGTCATTTTGGTTCTTAAGGGTCCAAATTGAGCTCGGATTTGAAAAAAAAAAAAAAAACGTAAAAGCCCCATTTTGTGAATTCTAAATTTAACTACGGAAATCCGAATTCATAAAATGGGGTTTCTACGTTATTTTTTTTTTTGCAAAATACGAGCTCAATTTAGATCATTAAGGGTTAAAATGACCCCTTAAAACCTTTGATGAAACATTTTAGCATGAAAATCAAGAAAAAAAAAATTAAATAGGTGTAAAGTGGGCCCCACTAACGACAATATATAACGGAGGGTTAACGGCAAGGTTACAGTGTAGTCAATAAATGGACCTTGAGGTTACAGCGTGGAATTTTTAAGGGGGGGGGGGGCACAGTGTAGAAAAGTGAACCCATGAGGGTTACCGTGTAGAATTTCCCTTTTTATTTATTGTGACGTAGGTTTTTTCATCTTGGTTGAACATACAAAGTAAAATATAAAAAAATCTTCTTTTTAAGAATATATTACTCCCTCCGTTTCACTTTGTTAGTCCCATATACTATTTTGGGCATTTCAAAATGATATACCCATGTAGAATATATTCCTAACATTATTATAGGGTAAACAATTTTCATATTCTGTGAATAATTAATCTAATTGGGTGTTTAAAGAGTCAAATAATTCTGATTGGTTAATATATGTGCTATTGGATTGCTGACCTGGCAAATTCTTCCAATCAAGATTTATTATAGGCGATTTAGTTACAACCAATTTCCATAAATAAAACAAATACAATAGGAAAAGATAAAACATTAATTACAAAGCTGCAATCAAATTCCAAATTATTAGGATTCCTCCTTCTCTTATTTTAAGTGATTGATTCCAAATGGGACTTACAAAGTGAAACGAAGGGAGTATATAATACTTGATTAGCCATACTCATATCCTGTATTTTTTAAACTAGCGTATTACCTACTTGTTTCATATCCGTACCCATCATTGTGCAACCTAGGATGTTATAAATTAGTTGTTAAGTTTCTTGTAACAGACTAGCCTAGGGGAAAGGGGCATTTTAGTAATGTAAATTATTGGGGATTGGGGTAGATATTTTGTTAGAGGAAAAGGTTGTCAGAAGGCTAATTGTAGAGGTGATCAGCTAGTGTGCCTTGTGAGGGGATAAGCTGAAGTTATTTGAGTATATTTTAATTTTGTATATTCTGTTGATGGGATTATCGGTCCACTCAAAGGCCTGGGTTTGTAATTCTCCATAGTAATGATATAATTTATTTGCATTAACAACCATTTATCAAATGTCCCCATTCTCATCTTCTTCCTCATTTATACATATCTGATGTACCAGTATATAACATTTCCATTCCTGGATACTCCAGTAATTAAAATTTCCACAAATCTAAAAGATGATTGAATGAAAGTAAAAGAAGTTATGGGGAGATAATTTATTGAATAGTGTTTCCCTTAATTTTTTTTTTTTTTTTTTTTTTAATTCTGTACTTGGCAACTAAGACTGGATGGAGTGAGTGACATTATTAAACAAGCTGGCGTTAAAACACTTGATATCGCTATGTCAAGACAAAGATAATAAAAAAGTACGAAGCAGGACCACTGAATAATAAAGGGGATCAGGAGAGTATGCTCGCAATGCTGCTATCAGAGAGAATATGCATTTAGGTCCAAATGCATGCATTTCAGAGAATTCTTGCATTTAGCTGGATAGAGGAGAAATCAACTTAAAATGCCCCAACTTCACTAATGTTATCTCCCAATATATCAGAAATAGCTATCACCCTTAAACAAATAGCTAACACAATCAACTAGTCAAACCAGCTAATGAAGTCGGTTCTTCAAACCAAACAATCAAGGTCTCGTTTAGCATTGGGGGAATTTTGATCAAAATGTTGATGGATAAACTTTTTTAAATAGGGGGCTGAAGTTGAGATATTGAGTGTTTAGCTGTAAGTGAGTTTTTTTTTTTGGATATTTTTTTACCTCTATTATTATTGGCCCAAAGAAAAAGCAGGTCATTTTGCCCGCTCTTTGTCAGTTCCCTTTTCTGTATCATAATTCATGTTATATTACGTCGACATGTGCCTGATAGTTGACTAGTTGAATTTTTTTCAAATCTTGACTGTTTTTACTCCTCTGTGAACTATTGCTGGAATGACCTAATATACTTTTAAAATTAAAGTTCTGTAAAAATTTTGAGTTTAAAGACTGCTTGTCAGCAAGTATAATGTAATTGTTGATTATGGTGATATTAGCTTATTGGCGTATGCTTATTCCATTTCTATGGACAGAGACATGGAGGGTCAACGTGGGGGGGTGGTAATCTCAGCAGTATGTCTACTTCAGTGTCAACCCTTGGTGACAGTGGGTGGTTGATACATGTCCAGAGTGTTTTGGCTGGTGCTGCCTGGATTGCTGCACGCATCGCAAAGGAATCTGCATCAGTTCTTGTTCATTGCAGGTTAGAAAGTTTTCATCTGATACTTGGATTCTGTCAAGTTTGCACTAATTCAGGAATATGTTTTGGCTTCCTTCATATGTTTTGACTTAGCTCTTTGTTATATTGTTCCATGTCCTAAAAAGGTGGCCACCATTCCAATTTTAAGCATCCTAGAACATGGTTAACAATGGAGTTGTACAGTTGATAGGTATCTGAGTATCAAATATTGGTCCTGTTGAAATGTATTTAAAAAAAGGAAATTATCATTGGTACACCTCTGACTTTTCCCGTTGATACACTCTTAACTTTTTGCCTTCCCACTGGTACACCTATGGTTTAGTCTTTTTCCAAACCGTGATTAACACAGTTAATAACTAGCAAATTAAGTTAAATAATTAAAAAAGACTATATACCCCTTTTAAACATCTAATGTCTCGATTTGCGTGTCGAAAATTATTCGGTTAAGGTTTTTAGGGTCATTTACTCATTTTAGCCCTTAAGAGTCCAAATTGACCTCAAAATTCGCAAAAAAATAACGTAAATATCTTGTATGCGTGTCAAGATATGTCTTGATTTATGTGTCGATATTTTTTTTACGAGATAATAATTGATTAGTCAAGGTTTTAGGGGTCATTTTGGCCTTTTATAGGCCTAAATCGAGCTCGGAATTGGCAAAAAAATTACAAAAATGCCTAATTTTACGTGTCATGAAATGTTTCGTTTTGCGTGCTAATAAAAAATTGCCCTCAATTTGTATTCTTAAGGGCCAAAATGGTCGTTGAACTATGACATAGCAAAATAGTAGCATGTAAATCGAGATATTTAATAATATGTAAAACAAGGCATTTTCGTAATTTTTTTTTGCCAATTATGAGCTCGATTTATAAAGGGCCAAAATGACCCTTAAATTCTTAATTGAACAATTATTAGCACGCAAAAAAATACTGACACACAAATCGAGACATTTCTTGACACGCATACGAGACATTGTGTTATTTTATTTTTTTTCTAATTTCGAGGTCAATTTGGACCCATAAAACGAACCCAAAAACCTTAATTAAATAATTTTAGACACGCAAATCGTGACATTAGATGTTTAAAAGGGGGAATACTGCCTTAACCTTAATTAGTTAACTTAATTTGATAGTTATTAACGATGTTTGTCACGGTTGGGAAAAAGACTAAACTACAGGTGTATTAGTGGGAAGACAAAAAGTTAAGAGTGTATCAATGGAAAAAGTCAATACCAGAGGTATACCGATGATAATTTCCCATTAGAAAATGTATATCCCTTAATTCCAAAATCCAATGTGGAGGAAATCGAATATTTGAGTGCTGGCCAGAAAATATTTGATCATTAATAGCATGTTTTATAAATGAGATATCAACGAGAAAATGTCTGTAAATTGATATAAATGGGAACTCCTTAGTTTTAGCTTCTTTGGTTGTTGAGAACAAGAATCGGAGGAAAAGTAAGGCTGAAGAAAGTTGGGTGATGCTGACTGATATTTCTGCTTATTTGTTCAAGTCACCTTTCCAATAGTATTTTATAGTGAATAAAACTGTATAATGAGAAACCAAACAATTAAATTAAAAATGTCTATAAATTTCTATACATTTACTTTTTGACTGAGCTCCATAGTTTCAATTATTTCATGTACTTCCACATTTAAATGGTTCCCAAATGTTTTGATATCCATTAAAAGAAAAAGTACGATTTGTAGCTAATATAATATAATATTTTGGTAGAGTATTCTGTTTGTGTAGGGTCTATAAAAAATGGGATCTAAATTATTTAGTTAAGACTTCCTGGAACAAGTAAAATTGAAACAGAATGTTGAATCTTGTAAAATACATGGTCATCTGGATAAACATACTTAAAGGCCTTTCTTGTTATTGCGATTTTGCCACTTGTAAATACGAGGACACACAATGTGTATTTTGAGCTAGTGTTGTGGCTTGTAAAGTGTTGCGTATTATGTATGGTGGGGGTGAGTGCATTACATTTGTACGGGGTTTTCTGTGTATCCTTATCTTGGTTATCCTGATAATAAGTGTTGAATTTTCCCAGTGACGGTTGGGATAGAACAACTCAATTGGTCTCGCTTGCAAGCTTGCTGCTCGATCCTTACTATCGGACAATTAAGGGCTTTCAGGTAATACTGGGAATCTCCAATGTTTCTGTTTCTAAGTTCTTGTTTAGATGTTTAAATTTCTTTACTAGAATTGGTGTAGTTTCTTGCTAAACATGGACAGGACAACCCGAGATAATTAAAAATAAAATCATTAAATGCAGGAATACCCTGAACTAATTATTGCAGGAAAGAAGATAAAATAAGGGCATAAACTATTTTATGCTTAACCAAGTCTTGAGATCAATATATGTTGAAGCAGATTTTATTTATTTTTTATTATTATTTTTTTTCTCATATAAACTTTAAGTATTTGATGCTTTTACCTCATATTCTGATTGGTAATTGTGGTGACCTTTAAGTCAATTTGTATATGTTTAGGAAGGAAAAACATCCTTAATAGTGGACTTATGGTGACTTTTTACTAATCTAATCCAACTTATGTATGTAACATGGCAAAATTGTGGCATACATCACGTATCACAATATGTGACAGATCGTCAATTAACATGTTTCCTACAATCAGTTATCGACACTTGCTGGAGCTGTGAACTTGCAGTATTTGTTATTACAGATAATTACTGAAGTAGTCAGACCGGTCACTATTCTAGCTTGCCTAATACGCAGGCTTCTAGATATTACTGTAGCCTCATAGTTTTGTTGCTAAAAAAAGTTTATGTAATACTAGCAATAAAACCTTTTAAAAAAATACTAACAATAAAAACTAGATCTTGAATCATAATCAAGAGCTTGAAGTAAGCTGGACCAATACTTATGTCCTCTTCACCTGATAACACCTTTGCACTTTTCAGTCATCTACTTGCTATAGAACATTCTACATTACCACCCGTGTTCACTTTTCACAATAAAAATATTATGGCTTGTTTTTTTAACTACTAACTGACAAACTTTAGATACTGCTATGTTTCCACTGTTCTAATAGAATAGAGGGTTCTATAAAAAATACTCTGCACGTATCCACTCTGTTAGGCTAATCTAGACCCACAGAGTCACTCCTTCGATGATGTACAAATGATATAACAATCATCTAAAAACAATATTCACAGAAAATCAAAAGGCTAGCCCCAGCTAACCCAAACAAGTGTTGGAGTTAGAAGTTATTAGACCCCCTTTCCCAAAATAAAGACTTATCTTAGCATTTGTCATGCTCGTGTGTGTAATACTCTTTCTGCTAGCTAAAAAACTAGCTGTGGAGTTCTTTGTGTAACCCTTTTTTTTTTCTTTTTCTTTTTTTTTTTAAAAATTATTTATTTACCATCGGACTGTCTATCTTCAAAAGTTGAAATGTTGGGGGTCTTTTCGAGCTGTGTTTAACCCCATAATTGATTTAGGAGTTGAAGTCATTTCATATGAGCTTATATGTTTGAAAAAGTCAATACAAACACGGGTCTGATTTGTGGATTTTTTTTAATCTTTTTGGTCTCCTATCAGGCACTTGTTGAGAAGGATTGGCTTGCTTTTGGTCATCCATTTTCTGATCGTATTGGTCTACCAAGTTTATCTGGGAGTGGAACTATGCCTCTAGAACTTTCTTCCAGTGGTAGTTTCCATTCATCTCCTGTACGTCAGCAGTCTGGATCAACACAACCTTCTGGCTCTTCACACACACACAGCTCACACAGTTATTCGCCTATCCTGTTACAGGTAAGTTTTCACCCATTTCTCCCAATAACGCTTGGTGTTGGTATCTGGAAATTTTATTTTCCATACTTGCATGTGGATTTTGTATAATTTCCTGTACATTGTTCCTTTTCCAAAGTTCGTTATGATGTTAGTGTTTTGATATTATATGCATGGAAATCCATTTCCTTATTGAGTTTTGATACAGCAATGTTAGGAGTATATCTATTTGCATGTTGTACTATCTAGGGTCAAATGAGTGTACCAAGGCTGTCGTGAAATTTTCTACTGGTTGGTTTACTTTTGGTGCTTGTTTGTGAATGGGAGATAAAATCAGCCACATTTCAGTGCCCTGTAATGTGATTGCAAAATAACTCCTACAACTAGGATTCCTCCTTCACCTTTACGCCATTCTAGATTTCTTTTCTTCTGTGGTTTACCTCCATTCATTTCTGTTGCTTTTATTGCAAGTGTTATCTAACTTATCTTGTTGTAACGTATACCAATATGCTGCTTTGGTACAATCATCAGCTAAGTAATTCTTGATTTTCTTTGCTGCAGTGGGTTGATTGTGTTTCACAGTTATTGCGAATGTATCCTTTCGCTTTTGAATTTTCCTCGGTAAGTTTCCTCTTGTGTAATTTATCCTTAAAGAACTATATTTTAAATACTTACAAAAGTTATAGTCTATTGCTGAAGAGCTGATTTATTAGTTTTTTCCTTGTCAACTGTAGGCCTTTCTGGTTGATTTCTTGGATTCTGTGCTCTCTTGTCGCTTTGGAAACTTCCTATGTAATAGGTATTCTTCTATCTTTTGTATTTTCTATGAGACAATGACTGATTTTCACGTTGAGATGGTTTGTTTTGGATATTCCATTGTTTTTGGAAAACCCCTTGTTTTTGAAATCTCCTTTTGATGAATGGCTAATTATCTATTTTTGTGCAGTGTCCAATATGTGCCACCCCATTAATTTTTGTTTTGTTTTGTGCTTTGTCTTATTGACTATTTTCTGTGCGCTCAGATATTCTACTCCTTTCAAAATATAACAAGCTATACTTGTCTACCACTCCTCCAAAAAATACCAGTCATTATTTTATTTATTTATTTTTTTGGACCTTTTTGTCAGCATAACCTCTCCATTACTTGAATCTTTACATTTTATTTCTGGTGATTTGTTTTGCTAAAGTAATGGATTCGTTGAAGCATGAAATAACCAAGTGGTTGTTGTCCAATTATATCCAAAAAATTTCAGAAATAAGAATGTAAAATTTTGCTTACAATGTTTGACATAATATGAATCGTGAATGCTGGATGTTTCAGCTGCTCAATTCTAAAACTCATCTGTTGTTGAAACTTTCCAAGCCTTTAAACTGAATGAAATAGAAAAAATAGACATCAAACATTTTAAATCATACCTGATATTTAAGAATACCTAGCCCAAATCCCAAATCTCTCTGCTCTCTTGCATCGTCGTTCAATTCCAAAATTTTTTTAGGTTATCAACCCTATGGTTTGTAAACTGAAATTTTTAGTGAAGGAACATTGGAACTAAGCACAAACTTTGTGTTTGGGAACTCTATACGGGGTGCTTGTTTAGGGGGTTGAGATTATGGGGATTGAAGCCTAGGTCGAGGATGGAGAATTGATGGGTAGTATTTCATTAATATTGTCCCCATCTCTTGTTTGACTTTATGGGGTGTAATTATTAGTTGTAGGTATCCACCCACTTGCCCCCTCCTAACTATGGTTTTAGTGGGACTAAGGGGGATTTTACACTATGTTTGGATAACAAAAGTGGAGGGGAAGGAAAAAGAGGGAAGGGAGAGAGAGGTGAGGGGAGGGAAGGGAGAAGGTGACTTTTCATTTCCTTCTAAATCTCTCCAATAATGGAGGGATTTGGTTTATTAAAAGGGGAAGGAAAATGGATTGTTTCAATTCCTTCCCCTTTCCTCCTTGCATTAGATATCCAAACAAAGGATGATGCATCGTTCCTTTTCTCTTCTCTTCTTTTTACTCCTTTCTCTCTATCCAAACATAGTGTTAATCTCCATCCCATTACCCACATCTACACAATGCTCCTTAAACAAACTAGGAAGATGCCCTTTTTTTTAAAGTTTTTATTTTATTTTATTTTATTTATTTTATTTATTTATTTTTTATAATGGGAATTGGCAATCCTATCCCCACTTGTTATACCTATATATAAAAGGCAAAGAAGTGGGTAATATGGAACAATAAGATGAAATAAGAAATACCCTCATCTACTTCTATCTTGTTTGATTGTTTAATAAGATGAAATAAGAAATTGACCTAGTTTCCCATTTTTTGATCTTTGATTTGTTTCATAGGGAAAATTATTGAACTTGCAAGTAATTTCGCAACAGTTTATTAGATTTACACAATTTTCCCTAGTGTTTCCATTGATTTTGACAAGGAAACTATGAAAAACAAAATTGTCCAAATGTTATATGATTTTCACACATTTCTACAGTTTTACTTCCCCGTTGTTTTTTCTCCAAATGAACAAATATGGTAGACTTGAGGAATCTATGCATTTCTAATTTCTATACTTTTCCTTACTTTTTTCATCAATGTCAAGTATTTCCATGTATACGTTCTAGTGGTGGTTGAGCAAGGCTGAAAGGGGTGGCAAGTCTGGCAACAGTAGAAACAAGAACATTCAGAGAATGTTTAAACTCCAAATGGGGTAGGGGGGGGGGGTGGAGGGTGGGGTTGGGAGAGTGATTAGCATTTGCTAACACTATTTGCTATTAGTATTTGGTGAAACACTTTTAAAAAATGATTTCTTAATTTGATTTTGTAAACATCTTTTGCCTTTTAGAAGTTGGCAGTTATGACCTGTAGAGATCTATTTCCAACTTGTATAAAACTTTCCCAATATTTGGTAATAAACTACTACCCCATCACAAAATTTCTCACACTTTCTATTATGGGGTGCTATAAAATCTTCCTCACACTTTCAATTACGCCTTTTACATTTCTGTCTCCTCTCCATCAATCTTTTTTGCTCCTTTCTCCCATTTTCTCTTACTTTTTCTTCTCCCTTAGAGCTGGGTAGACAGGATTTCGCAAGTATGCAACCTTATCTGTACAATTATAAAGAGGGTCTTTAGCTTTTTCAAAAGGTGTTGGACAAGAAATTTTGTTGAGTCAATTAACTTGAAAAGTCCATTTATGGTTTATAGATTTTATTTGAGATTATTCCTGTCATATTATTTTGCATGCTTGTGATCTTCAAATGTATTTCACTGGTATTTATGTGATTTGCAGTATTTCCGCCTAAATTGTAGTTGATTTTCAGCTTTCAAGTAAATATCCTCTGTAAATCAGCAAAAAGGCTGGAGTTTGCTAGAATTAATTATTCCAGGATTCCAGCCATGAAATCTAAACAGAAGTTGAATATTTATTTATTTATTTTTACTTGTAGCGAAAGGGAAAGACAACAATGTAGAGTTTCTGAGGCTTGTGGATGCTTGTGGAGCTACTTGGATGATATGCTATCCTGTGATGATCAATCACATGCGCACTACAATCTCTTTTATGACCCAATGAAACATGATGGTCCACTATTACCTCCGGCTGCTGCTCTTGCTCCTACACTGTGGCCACAGTTCCATCTTCGTTGGGCTTGTCCGAAAGAAGTTGAGGCTGGGGACCTAGATGCTAAATGTAGAAGCATGGCTACCAAATTCTCTGAACTGCAGAAGGTAACTGACATCTTGTTCTTTGTATAAACATCATGACTTTAATGGTTAATACCTCAACCTAATCGGTAGAGCAAACAGGAAGTATGATAGGAGGTAAGGAAGAATGGTGATGTATTGCTTGCCTTTGAGGTGTGTGCCTTTATAAATTAAAAGTCAATATGTGAGGGCAGGGGGTAATGTTTTTGTTTGGTGAAGTAGGCTGAAAGTATTGAGCTAACTCTACAAACCCTTGGAATTCAAGATATTGTTTAAATTTATAGTTTTTATTTATTGTTTTTAGAATTTAAAGTGCTCAGTGGTTTGGGCAGTTGGGCTACATTTGTTGAAAATTTCATGTGCTGCTGCAACAGAAATGAGAGGATAGATAATGAAATAATCGAACATGCATATATAAAGTTTCTTTTACTGGAGGTGCGATTTGTCGGCCACCTATTGCTCCTTAATTAGCGTTGAGTCCCCATAAAGACTTCTAACTTCTGGAATCCATCAGTGAGATTGGTAATGCCTTAAATATGTCTCGGATCTTGGAGGGGTAAGGTTTGACAAGTGGGGCAAACATTTCAGGTGTTTGGCCCAAAGAATGAAAATCCAATTCTCCCTCTCCTAGCTGTTAATTTCATTGGCATCCCTAGGATTCTAATTGCGGGACCTTTTCTCTCTCCCTAGCCCTGTTTCCCTAGAAAATATATCTTACTCTGTCCGTCCCTTATTTTTTGCTCCATAGAGGAATGTTTCTTTATTGATTTTTTGTTGGAAAAAAGTGATGAGAGAGAAAAGTGTTGTGAGGTTAATGGGGTGGTTGTGAGAGTAAAGATGTAGTCCCATATGTCCATAAATAGAATGGGGCAAATTTGAAAGAGACAGCCTAAATAGGAAATTGGGGCAAAAAATAAGCGACGGAGGGAGTAGTTTTTAGTTTTGATTGAGAATATAGAAAAGTGCAGATTTAGTGAGTACCAGTGACTGTCATGATTACCTTATTTTGCAGTATGTTCAGACAGCATACTACGATTATAAAATGCATACATCATGGTGAATCAGAATCCTTTCTTAAAGCTCCCTTTATCCCTATCTTGTTTACACACACATTGACCAACACTAGTTAAGTAGTTAGTAGTGGGACATTTTTATTTATTTATTTATTTATTTTAAATACTTATTATTGAAGGTGTTTAGAGGAAAAATTGATTTTAATAATCCCAACTCTGGCAGGTTCACTTTTATTAATCCCAACTAACCATTATTTTTTTTAACAATCTGAACATTATATATATATATATATATATATATATATATATATATATATATATATTTTCTCTTTTGATCCAATACCAACCTTTGATCGTCGTAGGAGGTCAGCCGAGTGGTGGTGGAGGTGAAGGTGGTCAATAGGTTAAGTTTTAAAAAAAAAATATATATATATATTCAATCAATTAGGTGTTGATTGTGACAAGAAAACTGGATATAAGCGGTTGATATTGGAACCAAAAAAAGCAAATCCTCCCAAAGCTCGGATTTTTAAATAATAATTGATAGTTGAGATTAATAAAAGCGAATCAGCCAAAGCTAGGATCGATAAAACCAATTTTTTCTATATTTATTATTTATTTTACTTTGTATATTATAGTTAGTGGGTGTTGGCTATATTTTATGCTATAGCTACCGGACCAAAGTAAGTTGAGGAAAAAAAAAGTGGGTCGATGTCATCTGTCTTCGATTTATGTTTTTCAATTTTTTGATCCAAATCAACTTCTTCTCCTGTCTTTATTGTCTTCCAGTTCCTGGTATCAACACAACCTGAATTATGTCTCATAAAACCGAGAGCATACTAGTATACACTTTTCGTATCTTGTAGGTAGGATTGGAAAGGACCTCCACTATCATATGTGCTTAATTATTGGGTTTATCAGCATTAGTAGCAGCTCTTTTGTTTTCTGCTTATTCTAATTGTTGATCTAGTTGGTTAAAGGTCATTCTTTTGAAAGAGAAATTTAAATGAGACATCCAAATATGTTGATTTCATATTAAGGAAAGGATAAGTGGACAAGTTTGAAGATTATAAAAGCTGCAGAGGCACAGGGCCTTTATACTTGAAATAGGCAAATTGCCTACATATTTGAAAAAGTAAACATGCCAGTTACATTGTTTTTATATTTTTCAGTAATTATTGGTTAGCTTCTGAGTTCATCTTTTCTTACAGGCTAAGGATACAGCAGAAAGGAAGGCAAGGGAAATTACAGCTGCCATGGAATCTCTGACCTCGGAGTTGAGAAATGAGAAGCAATTGAGCAGCACTGCTGTGCTCTTGGCTAAAAAGGCAAGCAAGGAAAATGCTGCTATCAAGCGTGCAATCCAGTCATTGGGTTGCAAGATTCACTTCTCAAGCAGTGGGGATACTGCTGTTGATGTTGAACACTACAAGACTGAGTCTCCTCAAAAGTCAATTTACTCTCCTCCCGAACGAGATTCAGATAGAATGCTGCAGTTTGATGACAAGTCAGATCTTTCTGTGTCCATTGCACTCATGCCTGATGATGATGATGTTCCAACTGATTCTTTTAGTCGAATATGTGAATCACTTTGCCCGCTACGCTCTCCTGATGGCCAATGTAGGTGGCCTGAAGCAGGTTGTGCTCAGATTGGAAGCCAATTTGTTGGTCTGAAGGCAAACTTTGATGCTTTTGATCGGTTGTCTATAGATGATGGTTACTTCTGATACATTTTCGTTCCAAATTTTGTGCTAATCTTTGGTTTTAGGCAATCTATTTACCAGTTCATTGTATTGTCAGAGAGAAGTTAGGTGCTGTTGGTGCAAAGTTTAAGCTGAAGAAATTCTCATTTTTCAGCAATTTGTGCAACACTTGCAGCAAAGTAGGTGACTTATGACCCACCTTTTGATTCGGGTCTTGGGTTTGTACAGTCCATACAGCATATAGAGTTGGAAGCTTCGTTTTACTAATGCTGATTGTAAGAAGAAAGCTTAAACTGATTTTTCAGAGTCGAACATTGGTGAGATGCTGCTTTTTATTTGCCGATTAACCCTAAAATAGATGCCACCTCCGGTCTTTTCTAAAATAAAGGTGATGAAATTGTACAGTATTCACATACTTTTTTTTTTTTTCTTTTTCCCCCCGAAGGTACAGCATTCACATAGTTGCTGCAACTATCCTGTATATGATTTATTCTTGCCAAAAATCCATCTTGTAATATTTAATTTTTTTGGATTGTAAATCAAGATTTTAATATTGTTCTTTATGAGAATTCTGCCATGTTTAATAAATGATAAGTTGTAATTTGCTTTTATCGCTTGATTTGTAAATTATAACAACCTATATACGAGAATTAAAAGGACAAGGGAGAACAAGTTTTAATTCTAAAACTATGCTAAAATTAATACTAATCTTCTTAGAGATAATAAGGAATAAAAAACACTTAGTTACTTATTAATTACTCTCATTTTTTCAAAGTTTTAATTAAAGTTCATAGTTTATCACAAAGCAACATCAAATTTAAGTTAGAACTCGTGTTAGACCATTATCTTTTCTTAATCAAAGTTTCTCTAAGCTAATTGAATTTGGTGGAACTTCATTTAAGATTAAGATATTAACACAGATAAATAGGGTAACGTTTTGGATCCCATCAAACTTAAATGGTTCTTCTAAAGTGTTCAGTAATTCCCCTTTTTTGTTTACACAAATTTTTGATTAAGGCGAATTTCATAAAGTTATTGTAAAACAGGTTAAAGTTGTCCTAAAAGTATTTAAAGTTCCTTATTACTACAAAAGTCACCATTTTCCTAACATAAATTATACCCTTAAAAAACAATTATGATATAATTTCTCTATTTTTTTGGTTGACATCTTTACTTTTACACTATTCACAAACTACACTTTGACTAACTTTTGTGATTTATAGCTACAATAAAACATGCTCAAGTGGGATCTTGTTTGAATCTTCTCAATGTAAATTTTATTAATATCCATTTTTTAAAAATTTTACAATGTTGAGAATTAGAAATATTAATCGCTAAAATAGTGCATTGGCAAGAGTGATAAAAGAAAGGTGTAAACTAAATAAAAATAGAGGTAGTATTAGATTAATTATGTTAGTCTTCATAGTATATCCATTATAAACTACAAATTAAATGCTATCAAACACATTACAAATTAAAAGTTACTCTTAAAGGAATTGAAGTTATCTTAAAAATTGTTGAAATTACCCTCAAATTGATCGTCTTAAAATAAAATTAACATAAAGCCCGTCTTATATAAGATTTATTGTTCATTTTATTTTACATATAATCCAAGGATGTTTAGTGAGTAGATCAACTCTTCCTAAACTAGAAATCTAGGTTTATTTTGGAGTAATCATTGTTTAAATGTTCCTTACATGTTAGATTTAATTTAAAACTCATGTTTATTTGATTCTTGACCGATTATATTTGCATGATTTAAAAAAGAGACATCATGCTTGATAGTTCTCTGTGATGATCAAATTCAAGTTCATTTCAAAAATTAATAGTTTTCAAGATCAAAATTAAATCAAAGACTAAAGTACAAGAAAGAATTTTGTTTTACCCCCAACTCTGTATGGTAATGATATATTTTCATCCCAAAATTTTAAAAAAGCTTTCAAACATTATGCAAGGGAAGAGAGTTGTGAGAATAGGTTCGTATGTGAGAACTCATACTTATATGAGAACTAATCTTAAATTTAGAACATGAGTATAAATTTAGAACATATGAGTAAATATTTAGAGCATGTGACTTGTTTTGGGTATTTTTACCCTGGACACGTGGTCCAATAGGAAGGTGACACGTGTCACTTCAGGAGAGGTTCTTAGAGAACCAATCCCCTGCTGACACGTGGCATCCCCAATGATTGGGAAGAATGGCGGCCTTTTTGGCCCAATTCCCAAGGAAACCCACCATTCCTAGGTTTTTGTAACCTAGGATGGCAGCACGCATTTCGAGACTCTATAAATAGGGAGATGTTCCCATCATGAGACACATTCAGAAATATACACAAAAAACAAAGCAATCATTAATTGCAGATATTCTCTCGGAATCCGAGAAAATACTTTACTTTCCGCACCTTTTACAAACTCCATACACGTTCTAACTTGATCGTTAGAGGCGGAACTCCACCCGCCCAGAGTCTCCGTTATTTTGAAGGTACAGGCGTCCAGAGGCCAGTCTTGGAATTGTAACTATCCGCAGGACATCAAAAAAACCCCGAAACATGATTCAAATTAAAATTTAGAACATATTAGTAATAATTTAGAATATATGCGTGAGTAATAATTTAGAACATCTGATTTAAGAATTAGAACATGTGAGTAAAAATTTAGATAATTTGATTTATAAAATTTAGAACATGTGAGTAAACATTAGGACATCTGATTTAAGATTTAGAACATGTGAATAAATTTTTAAAACACCTAATATAAAATATAGAACATGTGAGTATAAATTTAGAATGTGCGAGTAAAAATTAAATCATAGAATATAAAATTTAGAATATATGCTTTAAAGTCAAGAGCATTTGACTAAAAATCTTAGAACACACTATTTAAAATTAAGAACATATAATAAGTTAAAATTTTGGAACAACTTATTTAAGATGTATAACATCTGATTTAAATAACTTAAGGTTTAGAACATGTGAGTAATAATTTAGAGTATCTGATTTAAGTTAGAATATTAGATTTAAAATTTAGAACATACGAGTAATAATTTAGAACATAAAAGTGTTCTCACATAAGAAAGAGTTCTAAAATAAAGGAGGGATTCTCACGAAAGTCTTCCCATATATATATGTATATATAGATGGAAAAATGATGATTAATGATGTCCATTGATGATGGTAGCGTGCGGAATGGTGGTGATGAAGATCAAGAGCAACCCACGATTTGAAGAAAGGGGGGTCTGATTTGGAGGGTATGCTTTTTACTACGTATTTCTTTTATCAGTTCGTCTTGAGTGTGATTGGTCACACCATGTGGACGCTTGTAAAACAACTAAGTAACTCTATAACACTTATAGAGTAATTCCTACAAGGCTGCAATACTGATGGAGTAACCCTTATAACACTGATCGGGTAATCCCTAACACTTATGAAGTAAATCCTATAACACTGATTGAGTAAACCCTATAACACTAACAAAGTAACCTCCATGATGCCTAGCCACATAGTGTGACAAGCCACATATAAGAATTTGTATTCTTTTATTTGTATTCTTTACTTCTATTTTTTTTATTCATTTTCTCATTTTCTTTTATTGATATGTTTCTTTTCTTAACTTATTATAAATACCCATTTTTGGGTAATTAGAATGGACAACTTTTATTCCATCTTTTAACTAGAATTAGCTTAGCTCGCTCTCTCTCAGCTTAGGTTAGGGTTTATGGAGGATTAGCCTCCACAGTTAGAGTTTTAGAGAGCTCCACAATTAGGGTTTTAGAGAGAAAAAGTGAGAAATTTCAAAAAAAGATTGTAAAATTTGAAGATTTTCTATGTGACAAGAAGATTAAGGATCTCTATATTTAATCAATGAGCTTTTCTTACCCTCTCTCTCATATTATTTATTGCTTTAATTAGTTAATCTTTTTAGTTTAATTAGCTGTTTAATGCTTATATTAGTTGATTAATGGTTTCTTAGTTATGTTTAGTGAGTAGTGTTCTTGGTAGGGAGTTTGGTGATGAGTATTTGCGGTTCAATCACGATTAAGAGTTAGCTTTTGGGGTTTATTGTTATTAAACTTTTTTTTTTTTTTTTTTTTTTTTTGAAGGCTATTGTTATTAAACTCTTTGTTACTCGTGCTCTACCAAATTTTGCTTATAAGTTCCAAATTATATGTGATGGTATAAACTTGAATTCTCTCTATATATATTTGGATTTTTTTGCAAAATAATACCACAAAATTGTCACAAATTGGATTATAACACCACAATAACAAAAAAAAAAGAAAAAAAAACCCCAAAAATTAATTTCACCACCACTTAACGGATTCTTGAATGGAATCCATTAATGGGAGCCACCACGTAGACGTGTCAGTATTGCAATTGGTTTAAAAAAGTAAAAAATAAAATAAAAATAAAAAAAATCCTAAACCCTAACCCAGCCCCAACGTCACCACTGGCAACCCTGGACCCCCATCATTGGCAGCCCCCATCCCCATACCACCCCAACCATCGGCACTTGTGAAACCTGCCTGTGCCGACCAGAAGCATGACACACCACCCTAGCCCAACCTGAGACGCTACAACACCAGCTAGTATCGAAAATCCGGCAACCTAAACCCATTTGACCCACCACGAAAACCACCCCTCCTTTACCTTTTACCATAGCTCAAAACGGCCGAAATCGACCATGGCAGCCCTCAATTGGTCGATTTCGGCAGCCAATTTCAATGGCAGTTTCAAGGGTTGGGAAAATGGGGATGGTTTTCACGGCGGGTTGAAGGGGTTAGGGTGGTTTCGGGGAAGGGGAAAAGGGGAAAGGGTGGAGTTGCTAGCTTAGGGGTTGGTGGTCGGGCTGATTTCGATGCTCAAGGTGGGGCAAAGGGTGCCGACGGCTAGGTAGAGTTACCAACGGTGGGAGTAGAAGTGCTGTTGGAGGTGGCGTTGGGCTGGGTTAGGGTTTAGGATCGATATTTTTTTTTTTTTTTTAAACTAATGCAATACTAACACGTGTTGTAATGGGTCCCACTAACGGATTACATCCAAGAGTTTCTTAAGTGGTGATGAAATCAATTTTTGGGGAATTTTTTTTGTGGTGTTATAATAAAAGGTTTTTTTATTTTTATCTTCATTTTTTTTATGGTATCATAATCCAATTTATGACAATTTTGTGGTGTTATTTTTGCCAAATTTCCTTTATATATTATAAAATTTACAATAACATTTTTGTTACACAAGGGGATGGTAAAGCCGTGGCCTATTGTTTTTCTTTGAATTGCCTTAAGCCTTGTCACTGAAACATACTAGAATTTTTATCACTCAATTTGCCTACTCTACATCAAATGAAATTTTTCATGCAGAACTTTCATAAGTGCCGTATCAGACATTTGGGGCCGGAGCTAAAATTAAAAAAAGGCCACTAAACAATGAAGACATACTTTATACATAATTCGTCAACAAAATATTTTTCCCTTATATTATATTGTCGGATTATTAATTCAAATTAATTGACTATTCTTCTGACCGTCGTATTGAAATTTTATTTGTCGAGCACTACAAACCATTGTGAGTATAAT